TGCTCTAGGGGAAGGTGTCCCTGCCCATGGCAGGAATTGGAACTGGATGAGCTTTAAGGTCCCTTCCAACCCAAACCAGGCTGGGATTCTATGCAATAACCCTGGGGCCCTCAAGCTCTTCTCCCACAGTAGGTGCTGCAAGCTACAGGGGTTGTGTGGGGCTGGAGGAACTCCTGGTCTGGGACCCCACTGAGCACTGTCCCATTGGCAGAGTCTCTTCCCTCTCTGCTTAGGTGAGGGGGATCTCAGCTCTGTCTCACCAGGGCTGGTCTCTGTGCTGAGGCTGGAGCTATCAGTGTGTGGGGAGCCCAATTCTCCCATGGGAGGCTTCTGGCTGCCTCCGCTGTGGGATGTGGCAGGATGAAGGCTGATAGCGGAGCAGGCAGCAGGGGTGCTTTGTGAAGTACAAGTGATGGGTGTGCTCACACTAGGTCCTCTCTTCCCTCTCACACAGGGTCTGGCAGCTGGTTTCCGCCGTCATGTTTTCAGGGGTTGCCATCATGGTAAGTGAGGGATGTGGTCCTGGGCACCACCAGCTCCAGCTGTGAAAGGGGTACCCCAGCGTGGCTCCTTGGCATTCATCCCCCTCCCCTGCCTCCAGCAGCGACTGCTGCTTCCTCTTGCAAGGCCTTTGCCCTCACCATGTCTGAGTAAAAGGCTTTGCCAGCAGCGTCCTTGGTGGTTTGCTCCTATCACCGGAGCCTGTTTTCATTAGCAGGGTCATAAACCACACACAGCTTGGCACCCTCAGCTACAGAAACCAGCCATGAAGCCAGGAGCTGACACACTGATATTTCTTGCATCTCCTTAATTCCCTATTTCCTGGCCAGCAGCTCCAATCACATAAAGGCTGATGCCGGAGCGCTGCTGCCCCAGAGGGCATCTTTTGATGGCCAGTGCAGGATGCTGATGTGTCCCTTGCCTCTGCCAGGCACTCGCTTTCCCTGACCAGCTCTATGATGCCATCTTTGAGGAGGAACCAGCGAGCAGCAAGACTCCCATCCGGCTCTATGGAGGAGCCCTCCTCAGTGAGTGCCGTGCTGCTGTACCAGGGGCATGCTGCTGCCATGTAGAATAAGGGGATGAGGGGCCAAAACAGCAGGAGGGAGTAAAGGCTGTGCACAGCTGGACAGCTGCAGTGGGAGAGAACATCTGCTGTTAGCAAAGAAAGCATTTAGGGGTATTTTGAAAAGCTCAAGTACTGATGTTTTTTCTTAGGAGGGGCTCAGGCTCGTTGCAGGTAGGGTAAGAAGGGATGTGCATGCTCTAAATATCTGGGGGTATGCCCTAAATGCCCCAGTAAAAGGAGCTTGTTGATGGGCTGGGAGATGGGGTATTGGGATGCAGCTGGGACCAGACCTTCCTTATGGGAGTGGGAAGAGAGAAGGGGGAAGGCGATGGCATCCCAGGAATGTCCCATGCATCCATGCTGGGATGAAGCTGGGACCAGACCCTCCTTGTGAGAGTGGGAATACAGAAGGTGATGGCATCCCGGGAGGGCCCCATGCAAGGGGCCCAAGAGGTGGGGGGCAAAGGACAGGAAGGTGCTGAGGGCTTAGAGAAACGGTCTGTAAAAGGAGTGGAAGAATTCGGGACACGGGGTTTGTGTAGCTCAGCACCGGGACCGCACCTTCTGTGTGCCTCTTCGGGGCCGCACGCTGCAAAGGGCAGGCAGGGGCTGACAATGGGGCTGATTTTGGGGGGGTCGGAGGG